AGGAAGGGCATGCCTAAGAGCAATGGCATTCTCCTCTTGCTTGCCATATCAAGAACAATGAGGTCTATGGGGATGGTGCAATCTCCAATCTTCAAAGGGAAGTCCTTGATGAGACCAATAGGTGTTGTTGAAGAAGAATCCCCAAACATGAAGGAGGAGTTGTTTGGCTCCATGCCTTTGATCTTCAAGCTCTGCACCATCTCCAATGAGATCACATTCACACAAGTTCCACTATCTACAAGAGCATCATCAACTTTGAAATCACCAAGGGAGCAAGGCAATATGAACTTCCCTTGATCTTCTAGCTTGGGTAGAGATTTTGGTGGAGGTTTAGGATCCAACAAAGAGGAAGAGATGTCAAGAAGCTTTGCCACATCTTCCTTGTGAGCCAAGATGTCTTGTATGAGGATCATTTGGTCACAAGCTTCTTGCATGTTTGAGATCTTTGGAAGTTGAATTCCAACGTCACTTAACTCTTTCCTAAATTTGGAGATCTTCTTCTTTTGAGCCTTGGTGATGATCCTCTTTAGAAAAGGGAGCTTATCATAAGGAGATAGCTCAACCTCCTTGTCGTCCTCAAGCACAAACTCTTTGGATCCTTCAATCCCAACCTTTTTCAACCTCTGGACAGCTTCATTACCAACCAGAACCTCAGCCTTGTGCGAAGCTTGTTTCACAACCTCTGCCTTATCTTTCTGATCCACCTTGGTTACAGCTTTCTCCACAGTTTGGAGTTTACCACTGTCCACGACCTTAGCTTTAGCCTTCTTCACTATCTGAACATCAGCCGTGTCTACACTCTGGTTCTCATCCTGCACAAATTCAGAGCCATATAATAGTCTTTCAATCTCATCTACCTCTCTCTTATGATCAGTCAAGTCAAACTTAGGGGTATCATTGGAGAGGATAACATTGCAATGTTCTTTCCCTGGGCGTTGAGAGGTGGAGGTCATAGAAGAGAACTGATTCTCCAAGGCTTTAAGCTTGTTGTTAAGCTCACCATATGCTCCATCAATCTTTGTGTTGAGGTTTCTCAACTCAAATCCAATATGCTTCTCTTGCCTCTGCTGAGCTTCTAAGATGGTTCTCAACATGGCTTCAGTGTCAGCCTCTTTAGTAGGAGAGGGAGAAGGGTTATCTTGGCGTGGAGGAGCTTGGTTGTTTTTTGTTGGTTTGGTAATTGGGATTGTAGGGAGGCTTTTGGTATTGGTGGTTTTGGTAATGGAAGTTTAGTTCCTTCCTATACCAAGATCCATTGGCATTGATGAAGCATACCTCTTGGTTTCCCTCAACACCCTCAACAACATTCAACTCAGGTGTATCCTCTTGAGCACCCACAAGGTTTACCTTCTCTTGCTTGGTTGGGAGTGAAAGAAGCAACTCAAGCTTGTCAATCTTTTCTTCAAGAGATTTCAGATCCCTTCTAGTGTCTTCACCACCATCTCTATAGATTCTATCAAACTCATCATTGTAAATTGAGTCACTCTTGGCCATGTTCTCCACAAGCTCTAAAGCTTCAGCTTCAGTTCTTCCCAAAAAGAAACCATTGCTAGCACTATCTAGCATGCTCCTATACTTTGGCAAGACTCCTCTGTAGAAGGTACTAAGCAAGCTCTCCTTACTGAAACCATGATGAGGAAACTGAGTGATGAAGCCATTAAACCTCTCCCATGTTTCACCAAAGCCTTCAAGGTTCTTTTGAATGAAACCAGATATCTCATTTCTAAGCTTAGCTGTCCTTGAAGTAGAAAAGAATTTGGTGAGGAAGGCTCTATTACATTCATCCCAAGTGGTGATAGAGTCTCTTGAAAGGCTCTTCTCCTAAGTGTGGGCTTTGTCTCCCAAAGAGAACGGGAACAACCTCAACTTGAAGGCATCTTCAGAAACACCATTGATCTTTGTTGTCCTACATAGTCTATCAAAGCTATCAAGATGGTCTAGAGGATCTTCAAGGGCAAGACCATGATACTTGTTGCTTTGGATCATGTTGATAAGGCTGGACTTGATCTCAAAGGTGGTGTTCTGAACAGCTGGAGCTCGGATACCAGCTCTATGCCCATGAATGTTTGGTTGATCATAGGCGCCAATGGCTCTAGCTTGGGGTGGGNTTCTTCTTCGTATCAACTCTCTCTCAAGAGCTTGGATGTCTTGAGCTGCAGGTAAGAGGTTTGCAGCTCCTCTACTTCTCAGGTTCATACACCTGCAACCAATCCAAGAGATACAAAGAAGAAGAAATCAGTAACGAAAGCAAGTAAATAAGATTTAGTCTCAAGCAATGACTAAATCCCAATGTCAATAAACAACTCATAAATGGCAATGGCGCCAAATTTGATAGGGTTTTTTAAGCCTTAGAGCAAATCAATGTAGTAAGGTAAGTAGAGTGTCAATCCAATCCTGAGAGCTATTGAACAAAGAGAATGCAAGACATTGCTTAATCTAAATGCAATCAATAAGTGAGATGATATTGAACTAGAATACTACTAAAATGCAATAAAGGGAAGATCTTTCTTTCTCAAAATGAAGCAAGAGGATTCATGGGACTAGAAATTTGATCTTGGGTGATGTAGATCCAATCTAAAGATGGCAAGCTACAAATCATACACTTTCCTTATGCCTAGACACAATCCTAAACAATCTCTATCTCTAGATGAATGTTCTTTTACTATAGCAACCCAAGCATCTAATCTCTTAGGTTGAATGTTACTAAGCAAACATGGAGAACAAGTCTAATAGCAATCTTAACTTCTTTATCAACTAATCTCTTAGGTAAAGTAAGTTAAAAGCATTGAAGAGTTGGTTCAGGCATTTCATCATACACCTTGTGGGCAGGAAATGCCTAGAGATCTATTTTAGTATGATCAAGAGTAAAATGGCATTGAGAACCCTCAACAAGCAAGGAAACAAGTAAATCTAACACTAAACATTCTAGATCATCTCTAATCACCCTTAATCATCCTAGTCCATGAATCCAAAAGAAGTCTACTCACTAATATTCATGATTAACTTTAAACCCATGGTTGATTTAAGAGAAATCATGTTGAGAAGCAAGTTTAATCAAACAATCACAAAGAAATAAGTAGAAAAGAAACTAAAGATTCAATATTTCTTTTAGGTTTCAATGTGTTCTTCAAGAGAAAAGAAGATAATCCATCATTAGGGTCTAAAATGTATTTATAAGCTTCTTAAAACCCCTAATGGACTCAGTCAACAAGCTGAACAGGCCTAACAAAAACATAAAATTCGTCAGATGAATAGTGCTGGAGCGGGTGCCTTGGGTCGCTCTGCTACCCCGCTCCAGAACACGCTCAATGTGGACCGGGGGGTCCTGGGTCGCTCTGCTACCCCGCTCCAGAACGCGCCCAGGTCCTGGGTCGCTGCGCCTAGTAGATTGATCATAACTCCTCCAATACAAATCCAAATGACTTGAAATCACTTTCATTAGAAAGCTAATACAATTTCCCATGTACTACCAAAATATGAGCTTCAAAAGATATCTTTAAGGTCTCCATCCATTTCATCTTTCATCCTTTTTCATCACAAATATCTCTAAACACCTCCAAAAGCTCAATAGGACACTCCAACACCTGAGAAAGACTTATGAATGCAATATGAATCCTAAAGATGTCTAAATCTAAATCTATATGATGATTTATGTACAAAATGAAATGCTAAAACTATGTAAATATGCATCATATCATACGTTCACAAAATACTCTGATATCTACTCTCGCTGATCAGGGATATGATGCTCGTTTATAATAGATCTAGCAACCTAATTCATGGTTAATGATAAGAGGTTAAACCTAGATTCAAACACTAAATGATTAGATTATTATTAGCATTAAGAACAGTTATAAACAAAGACAAAAAAATGAAGCTTATTTAATGTTCAGTTCATAAATGAACACCCTAGACCCTAGACTAACAAATTCGACTACTCAGCCATAGCACAAGAAAACACAGAGATCATAATAGAAGAAGACATGAAATAACACTGCAATAAAAGAGAGTTAGGGTTCATGAGGTCTTCTCTAAAACGAGAGAGATGGAGATCTTTCTCCCTTTACAAAAGTGCAAAATCTCCAAATGGTTTCTTGTCTGTAGAATAGCGTGATAAAATCAAGAGAATAGGAAAAAGCATATGTCTAGAGGCCACAAGTGGCTGGGAGAAGAAGATAGAAAAACAAGAGTAAATCCCGAAATTAATCAGAAGTTTCCATAATTTTCAGGAGCAGGCAGGAGTTGCTCTGTTTGGGTGCTCTGCGACAGACTTCCAATTTTCATTCTTTTCTTCATGTGTCTCTCCAAAGGTCTCCTTACCTACTCCAAACCTGTAANCATATGTCTAGAGGCCACAAGTGGCTGGGAGAAGAAGATAGAAAAACAAGAGTAAATCCCGAAATTAATCAGAAGTTTCCATAATTTTCAGGAGCAGGCAGGAGTTGCTCTGTTTGGGTGCTCTGCGACAGACTTCCAATTTTCATTCTTTTCTTCATGTGTCTCTCCAAAGGTCTCCTTACCTACTCCAAACCTGTAATGACTCAAAAAGGACTAGAAAGACTCTATAAAGACTTGAAAACAATTAATACAACATATATACAAGATATCAAAAACACTATATATCAACAGAGATGGATTTCCATCCTACAATTAAAAAAAATATCCATCCCATATATATATGTGTACTTGCAAGCCAACTTCCCTTGGAAAATTTGAAGTTCTCTTAAAGTTTGTTGGTGGTGATAATCATGAATTTAGGTTTATCTTTTAAAACGGGTTTCCATCGTCTAGCCTATACATATTTTTTTCATTCCAAGAGATGTCTATTTTATATCTTATCTTGGTATGGTGCGGATTTTTTGATGAAGGCAGCTCATACAACAAGTGCGATGCAAAGAAAATATGGAAAACCACACCAGGAGTTTGTGATGAGTCTATGCACATAAAAAGACATATTGGAGCTTAGAAAGTGAGCCGAAGAATTTGCTTTGCAGTATGAGATGCATGCTTCTAGCTATTGGAGAGATTGTACACGCGGTAAGTATTTCTTCACCATCATCTTAATATTGCTCATGTTATTGTTATGTCTCCCCTCATCGAGTTTTGTTGTTTGACTTAGCTGAACCAAGCAACAGTTGAGTCTTCCATTGTCGTATTACACAGTTGACAGATGACTTCTGACTTCTGACTTCTACGTTTTGATTCCTATAACTCTATAGAGTATGATCACCATTGAGCCAAGCCTCTTTTGAGTCACTCTCAGGTTCTTTCATCTTTTTGTTTCACAATTTTCTTAGCCTTTTCATTGATAGTTATAGATGATTTGATGGAGTGTTGATACTGTTGTGACAGACTGGATGTTTGACAGTGCTTCCGGCTATTATTACAACCATACCAATGATTTAGGTTGTGGATTCAATTACAGTGACTCAATAGGTACGTAATAATTATAATTTTTTTTATCTTCTTTCGGATAGAATTGTATTCGATTTCTTTCTTCGTGTGGGTTTACACTGATAAAGAAAAAGGATCTTGGGTGACAAAAGATGAAGCGTACTCTGCAATTAAAGAAAACGTGGCAAGAGGCAACCAAGTGAAGCGTGCCTAGGATGGTTGGTAATCTGCTTTATGGAGTAAGTGCAATGTCAGCTGTACTCTCTGTTGGAAGAGTAGAGTTATATGTTCAATTTGTTGAAGAAGCTTTGGGTTTGAGCAGTATACATAGGAAAAAGGAAGCCAGGAAAAGTTTCGAGAAAGTCATCAAACTCTCTTAAAAACTCGAGTAAACTTCGAAGCATGATCTTAACATGGTTGCTACTTTTTTTGAGTTTGATCCTGATTTCAGTCTGATGAAACATGAGCGAGAAGGTTATGGTTGCTAGGAGTCTACGAACTTCTTCAAGAAGGGATATCTTTATAGTGGCTCTAGATAAATAAATCTCCTTTGGGGATGTTTCACAACCGATGGAAACTTTTAATGCAATGCATGTGCAGGAGTGACAGAGTGAGAGTAGTATGTATTTTAATCCCCACTACGTACTTTTTTTTATTCCCACTACTCTATTTCATACTTCCTTAGAATCTAACTGATGGTGGGAGCAGTGGCGGAGCTACCTTTAGCTGAGGGTGGTCATATGACCCACATGGGTCACATGAATTTTTATAAAACAACAAAATGTTCTTGGTATTTTGAAGAAAAAACTGAAACATGTTGCAGATATAAGTTATTGACCCATGTAATATACTAAAATTATGCAGTTGACCCTAGTGAACAGTTGATCTGGCTCCGCCACTGGGTGGGAGTCAATCTTTTTTTAATCATTATAAATTTCATTCAACCATGAAAACTTACAGAGGAAGTGACATCTTTGAGTCATGTATATAACACATAAATCTCAAATCTCACATAACTGGTAAAACAATGAATCCCACTTATTCGTCGAACCACACATATTATACACACACACATCCAAGTAAGATAAATTGTTTTGGATTCTGTCATTTGGTTTGAATTTTCATTATCATTATTATTCGTAAATAATTATTTAATTGGGTTTTATATTGTGTGCATAACTAATATTCTACCTAGACGACAAATTTGATTTCAAAGTAACCTTAATTTCATAATTCGTAGTTTTGATTTTCTTTTAGTTTGGATAAAATTTTGTTTAGTTTCTCATATTTGAAATGTATACTATTTAGTTTTTAAAATGTATAGTCACATTCAACCATATTTAAATTTAAATCTTAACCAGTTTATGTTCTTTATTTAAATAGTAATGCAATCAGAGTAACTTACAAAGTCAGTAACAAATGGCAAACAAAAATTTGATGACAAAAAGACTTTAAATTACTACTCTGTTTTATATTATATTTTGGTCATAAAACTAATCAATTATTATTAATAATATACAGTTAAAATGAGTTAACCAATTAAAAATATTAAAATATCGTATGATTAGTTAACCAAATTTTCAAGAAAGTTCAAAATATCAAATTTTTCTCTTGAAAATTTTATATTATGAAACGGAAAGAATAATATTTAAAATGTATGAATAAAATAAAACA